TGAACCTTTTTGATTGCAAAGTGGAACACAGTAATACTGATTCTGTGGCGATTTTGCTTTCGCCATGGTGGTAACCAGTTCTAAAATTCTGGTCGCCAACACCTAATTTTTGGTCGCATTGGTGACCAGTCAGTCGCAATTTGGGTATTTTTTAGACTTAGACATGAAGGAGCATGATTGTACTTTCCATTAGTATCTACATATCTTTTTCTTATATACATATTTTTATCAATATAGATACAATTTTTCTATTGTCCTGTTAATTAGATGTAGATAAATTTTTTTAGATACACATCTTATAACTATATTGCTGATCACCAGTTAACACCAGCTGTACCCTCTGGGTTCAGCTGATTGGTCTATCAGGATAAATAAAGATTTTTATTTTATCAATTTATTATAACTTGGAAGTTTCCTGTAAGTTTGGTTTCAAAGAACATTCTCAATTGTTAAACTAAATAAAAGAAAACGAAAACCTGATAGAAATGGGATTCGTTGCAAAGAGAACACCAGCATTTCGCAGTAAATAGAAATTTATGATAAACCTTCAATATAACTTGTGAGGCTAACAACAGTTTCCAACAAACATGAATTTCCTTTCAAACTGCATGTAATCCACCGAATTGAAATATGGTGTCCCATTTGAATTACCATTGTTTTGGACTTACTAGCCTCATCTTGACGTGGAAACACAAAAGGATTATCACATGTGTGAGAGGCTAGTCAGTCTAGAACAGTGGCAATTCAAATTGGATGCCATATTTTGATTCGGTGTATTACTTAATTGACTAACTAGAAACAATTATTCACTGGGAGCAGCTTAACAAGAACTATTATCAGTGAACAAAAATACTCAAGCAATACCACACCACCAAGCAATACCCAGTGTGCTTTGCTCGAGCTTGAACCATGTTCAAATTGGTGGATTTTACCACCAAACGTCTTCTTGTAACAACAACAGCATGCAACGGCCAATAATTTCAAAACTCTTTACAAAAGCAAACCTGAGGACTTCTGTCCTTTGCTACTGTAGATACATCAATGTCACAAGGTAACTGGTTGCAACAATACTTTCGTGAGAATTATTTCAAACAAAGTTTTGAGAAAACTACCTCTGTATCAACGTACAAACCAATAAAATGCCCTGTGCAGCGAACCAAACAAAAGACTTTTAACACTTTTTGTTCCTCTTTCTCCAAAGCTGATCTAAACATTGAGACTTTTCGGTAAAATGGTTTGTGGCGATCATGCATCTTTCAACCTCAAATAAACCCTGTGCGCCGAAATCGGCGAAATCATCAAAATATCTTAAAACAAAGGAATAATGCAACAGAATAACAGTAGGTTTGAAACTTAAGAGGTTGTCTCTCTTATTTCCACCCGGTCAATTTCGCGTCAAAAATAATTTTGCCTGAAACACTGTAAACAGAAAGACTTTACTTAGGAAAGAACTAAATTAGATTTGGTTTGATCCGAAATAATTTTCTGACTGTGTTAGAGGTCATAATTGTTTCCCAGTCTGTTGGGACCGTCGCAACATCTCGAAAATTGAAATATAGGCATATTTAGAAACATTGTAAAATATTTGATTCGCATAGTTAAGCCACGGAATCTATATCAGATTGCTTAAAATCCTTTCTAGTTTGCCAAGAAAGTTAGAATTTGCACTCTCAATATATCTGAAAAGGCGAATTTTAGCATATTCTGACCCCTATAAATCTCAATCAGCTGATGGCCGAAAATAACCTTGATTTAGACGTTAAGTTTTAGGATTTGGGACCTGGTTGACAACTCTATCCTACACAGCCGTTAAGTTTAGACCTTTATAGGCAAAAAAATGCAAAAACCCCTGTACGTTTTCGGTTTTTTTTAAAGTTATGACCGTTTGAATCAGCACATGTACGAACATTCGCGATTTTTTCACCTACACTAAAATCGAACCACTGGAGCAGATTTCGTCATAAATACAGCTTACCTTCGGCGCACCTTGGCTTTATGTGAGATTTCAGATGTTCCTCGCTCCCCAAACTGGTGAACTTAATGATAACTCCAGCAAATAACTCCAAACTTCAGCGGTCGGCGTGTATCGACACTCTTCTTTAACTGGTTGTTGCGAACTAAACTCGAAAACTAAAGCCATGTTTCGC